AAGAAAGCTGGAAAGAAAGAACAGAGAAACAGAAGATGGTATAAATTAAAAGCAAATAGCATAATGGTAGACTTAAACCCAATATATCAATTATTAATGGTTAAACATTCCAGTTAAAATGCAGAAATTGTCAGACTGATTGAAAAGAGGGTACAACTATATGTGTCTAAATAAAATTCACTTTGAATAGAAAGACACAAATACATTAAAAGTAAATGTATAGAAAAAAATATACCAAGTAAATAGTAATTATCACAAAGATGGTGTACGTCTATTATTATACAATTAGATTTCAATTCTCTTTACAACATGAAAAAGAATTTTGTTAAAATGATAAAATGGTCAGATAATCAAACAGATATGATTTGAATTTATATTTGAATATATAATTATATTCACTAATATAATAATCATAGATGTATATGCATCTAACACTAGAGCTTCAAAATATATAAAGCAAAAGTTGAAAGAACTGAGGGGAGAAATGGACAAATCTAGTTAGCTGAAGATTTATGTACTACTCTTCTCTTTTAGGTAATGGATAGTACAACTGGACAAAAATTACTAAGGATAAAGATTTGATCTAATTGACAGTTCTTAAAATCTATACCAGCAGCTTGCTAAAAGCACATTTTTTTCAAGTGCATATTGAATGTTCTCCAAGATACACCATTTGCTGGGGTATAAAATAAGATTTAATCAACTTCAAGAGATTGAATCTTACAGAGTATGTTCTCTGACCCCAAATAATTAACTTAGAAATTAATAAAAATATGATATCTAGAAAAACCCTAAATATTTTGAAATTAAACATAATACTTCTAAATGACACATGGAGGGATCAAAGTGAGTTTACAAGTGAAAATAAAAATATTTAAAACTAATGAAAATAAAAAATGCAACCTATCAAAACTTGTGAAATGCAGTATGTAAGAGAAGTTAATGGCTTTGAAGTTCTCTTTTACAAAAGAAGAAAGGTTTAAAACCATTGTAACTTTGCTCCACTTGAAAGGTATAGGAAAGGCATGAGGAAAAGAAGGTATAGGAATGACCCATAGGCCCATGAAAATGTTCTCAACATTAGTCATCAGGGAAATGCAAATTAAAACCACAATGAGATACCTTAAAACCCAAGAGGATGACTAAAATCAAATGATGGACATCAAATGTTGACAAGAATGTAAAACAAACAATAGTCATACAGTACTGTTGGGACTTTAAAATGACACAACTACTCTGAAAACTCTTTGATGGTTTCTGTATGATATTACACATACAATATTCTATGACTCAGTAATTCTAATTCTAAGGTTTTATCCTAGAAAAATGTCAATGTATGTCTACAAAAAGAGATGTACACAAATAGTACTAACAGCTTTATTTGTTAGTACTCAAACTGGAAACAATACAAATGTTCATCAACCTGAGAAAAAATTATAGTTTATTCATATCACAGAATACTACTCAGCATTTTCAAAATTTAAAGATTTGTTATGATACACATAACAAAATGGAAGAATCTCAAAAACATTATGTTAGGCTAAAAAAGTCAAACACAAAAGAGTGTGTATTGTATTTTTCTGTTTACATGACATTCCACAACAGGTAAAACTGATCTACAGTGACAGAAATCAGGTCAGTGGTACTCTGTTGGGGTGGAAAGTGACTGGAAAGGGTCACAAGGGAACTTCATGTGATGGTAGAAGTTTTTACATCTTGATTGTGGCCTTGTTACACAAATATATTCATCTGTCAAAACTCATTGAATTGTATACTTAGACATGTGCATCTTACTGTATGCACATTTTAAAACATTTAATTTTAATTTTTCCATCACCATTTATCCCCTCTATGCCCTCTTCCACCTCCACCCATTCCCTTCACCCCTACCCCTGCAATTACTACACTGTTGTCCATGTCCATGAGTTCTCTCTCTCTCTTTCTTTTTTTGCTCAATCCTTCCTCCACACCCCTCAACACCTGCAAATTTTAACGCACTAAAAAAAAAAATTTTTTTTTTTTTTTTGGCTGGAGTGGCTCAGTTGGTTAAGTGTCATCCTGTGCACCAAAGTGTTGCCGGTTTGATTCTGGTTTTTTTGGGGTTCAATCCCTGATTGGGACACGTACAGAAAGCAACTGATTGATGTTTCTCTCTCTCTCTTTCTCTCTCTCTCCTTCCCACCCTCTCTCCCTTCCTCTCTCTCAAAGCATGTCCTCAAGTGAGCTTTAAAAAAAAAGATATTTTCCATATGTTCTTAGAATTCATGTTCTAATGAGATAACCAGTCATGAATAAGATAAGCGATACCCCTAAATTATGAATATCTTGCTTCTGGAACTAAAAGAATAATATAAATATTAATAAATTTACTTCAGTGAATAGGTAGAGGAAGGTCTCATGAAACACATATCATTGGAAGAGGTGTAGGAGTTTGGTGAATGGTGGGATGTCATTCTGTGTGGAGAGAATGCATTGTGCAAAGGTACATGACATTAACTATGGTGTATGAGCTAAAGATGAAAAAGTTCAGAAATAAATTATGATGTATGTTTAGCCTTAAACTGAGGCATTGGGCTTCCATGACACAAACCAATAGATGTTTTTAAATAGTAGAGTGGTAGGATTAGTGTGCCTTTTAGCACTATGTAGGATATCCTGGAATAGGGAGAAATTAATGCAGTGTCCTGGGCTTGCAATGCCTTTTGAATAAAAATACCGTGATCATAGCCTCTGCTCGAGTGTGTATTTTTTTTAAATCTGTTGCTTGATGATCAGGACTGTACACTGAATGACCCTGAAGGTTTTTTTATGGGCTTCCTGGCAATGAGCTATCTGCAACTAGTGCTTCCTCATAATGTTATTCGCTGAACATGGCCTCACTTCTGACATGATATCCAAATGCTATCAGCTTGGGAAAGCAACTCCCTGAAACAGCTGCTGCCCCAGTCCAAAATGTTTCTCTGCTATTCACAATGTCATTCTCATGCTTTCCCTATAAAAAAGAAGGAGTACAAAAGTGGTGCCAAATACACCTCTCTGTAGGGTGGGAAGACCTTGCTGGTGTGTTTCAGATGCCTCTTTGCCAAAAAGTACTTCAAATTTTCCAAAGCTGATTGGACCATGTATGGACCAAGGATTGCATCAATCTATACTTTGTTCCCTAGCTGACCATTTATAGCTTGAAGTAAAATGATGATGAGTTGCACCAGTGAGATTCTTCCTTTCACAGAGATGAAAAGTCTTGGCCATTTAGCAGCAGGAGCAGTTGCTGGAAGTGTCAAAAAGTGAACCAAGGGTGGTGCAAGCTCAGGCCATGTATAAGAGAAGCTAAGAGGGAGCTGGAAAAAGGAGGTTGGGCCAATGTGCAGAGAGAAGTGAGACCCTGTGAAAAGGAAAGTAAGAGTAGCCAGGCTCCAGACCCATCCTCATTGTGTTCCTCTTTTCCATCTCCTCCTCTTCCTCCTCCTCCTCCCCCTTCTTCATTATTATTATTTAGTGGAGGGTATGAAAGACTTCCAAATTAAGTTCCCATTTATTATTTCTAGCATTCTTTCACTATCCTATTCCCCTGTACATTTTCTTTTAAGTTACATGAGTGAAGTTTTTGTCCCTTGCTCTTTGTAAGCCTTTTGAATGCTCTGGTAGCTATTGTTTTGAGTTTCCTGGAAAGCTTCCCTCCACCCTCATCTTGTAGTAACAAACTCTGATTCCTGGAAGAAAGGTGAACATGTCCAGTAGGCTTTTGGAAATACAAGCCTGAAACTGAGGAGAGAATTTTGCTTGGAAAGAGAGAATTTAAAGTCATCATTCAACAGAGAAAAACAAATAAGTAAATAATTTCTATAGAGCACTTTCAACATATTAGGTACTTTGGCACATTAGATGTTTGGCACATTATCTATCTATATTAATGTCAGTTAATTCTTACAATAATCCATCTAGAGATTATTATCTCTATTGATAGAAGAGGAAACTGAGTCTTAGAGAGTTTAAGTGGCTTAGCCACAGTCACACAGTCGGTGGCGGGTCAGAGCTGGGATTCCATTCCAGGACAGCGGTCAGTCTACAAAGCCCATGTTTCTCCGATCGCGAAGAATGGCCTCCCAGCTCATAGGTTGGCTCACAGTCTATCTTCTAGGAAGTCATTGATGAAGAGACCAGGGCTGGGAATTCTGAGGCCCTCCAACTCTTGAGAAAAGGAGCTATTGACAGAAAAGGGAAAGTCGGGGAAATAGAAGATCCAACTATTGTGGTGCTATCGAAGCCAGAGGCGGTGTTATAAAAAGCATAAGGTGGCCCACAATCAAATGGTTAAAAAACACCACGGAAAATAAGGAGCGATTTGGATTTGGTGATCAGAGAAGCTCACGTGTGACATGGGTGAAAATCGACTCTGCTTGTGCTGAGAGCAGAAGCCACGTTTTAATGAGCACACAAAATCACAAGAATTGAGGGATTGAGGAGTGTGAGTATAGCAACAGAAGGGAAGGAGCCAATGGAGAAGGTGAAGCTCAGAATTCCGAGTTCCAAGAGGGAGCAGACCTGCGAGATTAGCACTGGATAGAGGAGGCGCCTTTTCCAATAGGAACTAAGTAGGTATGAGTCTGTGCCTGTGTGGAGGGTGAGAAATTTCTATATTTAAGAAGGGAATGAAATCTGTAAAAATAACAAGATCAGCTGTAGCGGATTAGAAATTCCTGTAAGCGCTTTACGAGCTAATTTATTATCCCCGTTTTACAGATTGGGTACGCCAGGCACAGCCACTGGATCCCGATCAGACTGCAGAGACCAACTCCAGTCCCGGGCGGTTGTAAGCCCGGGCTCCGGGTCGAGGTCAGCAGTGAGTCACCGGACCCGCCGCAGGCTGACCGCCGAGGAGAGGCTGGAACTACACTTCCCAGTGTGCCAGGCGGGGCGGGGCGCGGGCGGGGAGGGCGCAGGCTCCTTCCCAGAAGCAAAAGCGGAAACAAAAGAGTCTCGCCGGCGTCCCCGCCCGCACACTCGCGCACACTCGCGCTCGGGCGCACACGGAACAGGCACAGGCACTCGGAGCGAGCCAGCGAGCGGCGAGTCGGGGACCCACCATCTGAGCCAGCCTAGGAGCCAGCGAGCCGCGCCCGCGACGACCGCACGCCCCCGAGCCCCGCAGCCGCCCCCCGCCGGCCGGTGTCCCCGCCGTCCTCCCTGACCCATGGCGCTGAAGCGGATTCAGAAAGTGAGTGCTGGGGACAGGCCTGGGGCGGCGGGGCGGGCTTCGGCCCCTACCCACACCGACCCGGGCGGTGGTCTCAAGCGACGCACCGGGAGGGCACAGGATGGGAGAGTGGGCAGGGGCGGTACCCGGGGCGGGAGACGCGGGCCGGGCCAGCGGGCACTGGACAGGTGAGGTGGGAGCAGGGGCAGGTCCTGGTGGTGGAGGTGCTTGGAGGCAGGGGACCCGCTGTGCTCGCGCCGGACCTGCGCTCTCAGCTCCTGTGGGGAGATAGATTCTCCTCCGTCTCCGCATCTTCCCGAAACCTTTGCTTCACGGTCGCCGCTGGATTGTTGCCCTATACAGGGCTAGTTCTGGCCCCTGTCATACTGTTTTCTCCTCGCTCTTTCTTAGCCCGTTCTCTTTATGTTCTTGCTTCCCCTGGCTCCCGGGGAGGGCAAGGAAGGTGTGGTGGGCCTGCAGCCTTTTTCCTCGGAGCTGTTGGGTTTGTTTTTTCTCTCCTTTGCGGTTGGCTCTTGCTCAGATACCCGAATGGGCTGGAAAAGCCCATATGAGGCCGAGAAGCCAGGAGAAGCCTTCTGCTCCTTCTATTTTGGTGCCTCTCCTGCTGCCACTTTAGGTCACATAGCTGTAGTGAAAACATAGTTGCTGATACACAACAAGATGACCTCCTGGCTGTGATTCATGGTGAGGCAAGCCAAACAGGTTTTTTCCCCCTTATGATAAACTTATATATAAAGTTCGAGACACAACAGAAACTGGCACAAATTAAATTGTTTGATGCTTTGACACATGAGTATAGAATGAGGAAGAAATGTATATATTCATTTAAGAAATATTTATCCGTTCCAACTCTGTGATGAAATTGTCTTCTCTTGCATACTATTTATTGCTACTGTTTCAAATGTGAACATATTACAGAATTGGGGTTGGGGCATTTTCTTTTTGTTCAGTTTTATTTTTTGTTGCGTTGAGTTATTGGTCTGTTCACTAATACAAGTTTTAGGTTTTACAGTTGGAGAACAGTGAGAATTTGTTTTTTAAATTGGGAGTGCATTCAGCAAGTTAAGCCAAGAGTGGACAGCATGTTTTGTAAGTGATTTCAGAAGAAATTGATGCCTGCTGAAAATTTTTATCAAGTTTTTCAGGCATGATTCAATAGAGCAGTGAATAGAGATGTATACATTGTACTCTCCTCAACCATGGGTGGCATCTTTTGGTACAGAGGACAGCAACTTTCAGACCTAGCCCATTTGTTGTTGTTCAAATCTGCGGATCACTCTAATTTTTGGTGCCATTTAGAGGTCCTCTTACTATAAACATCGCTAATAATCAGCATTTATTGGTTAATATATTTTCTGGTTTGAAGATGATGCAATTACACATTTTTTTCTATATAATTAATCATAATTTTGAAGCCCCAGGCAGAATCTTTGCCATGCCTTGTATACTTATTAATGATGATGTAATATTGACTGACACTTAAACAACACACATTTTCCAAGAAAGTTGTAAAATTCCATTTCCTTCTTTCCTAGTTTTGAGAATTTTACATAAGATTTTGCACAAACAATAGCTTTTTAATAGTGTAGAATTTGTCCACAGTAAGTAGATCTTCAAAGAAAAAGGACACTATTTGTAAATATCATACTGAGCAATTATCAGTCACCATGCTAAGCCAATGTATTTGACTTATATTTATAATATAGCATATGCCCAAACCATATTTTTATAGTTATTAGTCATTATTAGTTTATAATAGAGTTGACTGATTTAAAAAATCACTTAGTTTTGATGTCAGACCTGCAAAAATTGGTATTTGGGGATCATATCACATATCTACATGCCAATCTTTGGCTTTGCTTTTCTGTTATCAGAAAATTTGATTTGCACAAATCACCTTTCCTTTAATCACATGTTCAAACCATTTCCTCAAACTTTAAGGGGTACTGTTTATTCGATCTACTTTTCCTCCTCCTTTACCCACATCCTTGCTTAGAAGCTAATTCCAGGTAAAGTGTGCTATTTGCCATATGTAGTTATGAAGCCTTCCTTGATGTTGTCACTATACAGTACAGATTCTTACTTGAATCTTGCATGGTACCACAAAAGAAGATACATATTAACATTTAGCTCTTGTTCTAAAGCGTTTCAAAGTGGCACTGTCAGATACATTCCAAGTCATGGGGTTGTGATTTTTCTGTACATAAAGTGGCAGACTTCAGAGCTGTACATAACATATGAGAACTCTGCAGTAGTGGAGTGGTGTGGAGTGGAGGGCAAGGTCACAGCTTCTAGGGTAGTGTATCAGGATCACTTGTGGGCCATTTTCAGACTGTCCCCATTGCAGTGAATGGAGAGATGTTGAATCCCTCAGATGGGTTGAGATGGAAAGAACGTCGAGAACCTGTGAGTTCTAGTCTACCCACATTATTCAAAGGCCTGGAGTGGAGGAATACTTTGTCCAAGTTAATCTCTTAAGAAGTGATTTGACATATTTGAGAATGTTAAAATGTTTATGACTTCATATTTCTTTCCTTTGTATGAAAATATTAAATATGCTTGAAATTAAAATTGTGTATACAGCGTATACAAAGCATGTGGGTATCAATGCTTAAAATATATTTTTATACGAGAGTATGCTAAGTGATTTAATATTCTAATTTAGACATCTAGTGCCAGTTTGGCATGTCAGCTCATAAATTTACACACCCATGCCCTATTTTTAGGTTCAGTGGAAGATGTTATCACAGTCACCTAAATTACTAAAGGGAAAAAGTTTAAACAAAGTCTGAGGAAAGATACCTAAAACATGTCTGAAAAAAGACAGACATCTATTATTTTCTAGAATTAATTTCTAAGTGTTTTTTTTCTATCAATACTATTTTCAAATCTTGATAAACTTTTTTGGAAATCATTTTGAAATGTTTTTGAAAACCAAAGGAAAAAAAAAGGAAATACAGTACAGACATTATCATCATTCTAACATATAGTTGACCCTTGAATAACATGTGTTTGAACTGTCTGGGTCCACTTATATGCCGGATTTTTTTTTCAATAAACACTTGTACTGTTTTAGATCCACAGTTGAGAGTTCGTGGATATGCAGGGCAGACTGTATGCTATTTTATACAGGGGACTTGACATCAATGGATTTTAGTATTGCAGTGGGTTCTGGAATCAATCCCCTGAGAATACTGAGTACAACATATGTTTTGGGGGAAGTCAAAACTTGTATGTGCATTTGACTTTCAAATACACAAGGTTTGGGGTCCCTAACCCCTGCATTATTCAAGGGTTAACTGTATTTCTGTGTAGATTATTTTTATTTGATAAAGAAGTTGAAGTAATTAACATGGTATTATATGATAGACTTGTTGCCTTTTTGGTCTGTCTTTTGAAATGCAAAACAAAAGTTTTGTTCTACAAATATAACTAGACATAACTATTCCTTAATGTATAGTTCTGTCCCCAAAATAGAATATTTGTTTTTTTAATAATTAATTTAACTTTATATGTAAACATAGGTTATAATACAACTTTATAAATGTTTTGAGCTGCTGAACTTTTTTGATTTAATTCAACATTAAACTGTTTATATCAGTCTAGAAAACCTTAGGATACTTTAAAACAACAACAACAACAAACCCAGCTCTCTGTGGATGGAGCTTCAAATGGGAGAAGAAGATCTGGTTTCTATTCCTGGCTCTGTGACTTACTAGCTTGTTTCCCTATCTATACAATGATGCTGCTGATAAGTACAATTAGAGTGTATAATATATAATAGTTACTGTGTGCTAGACACTGTTTTAAGTGCTTGACATATATTAATTGATTTAATACTTAGTGTGCCTAAGAGGTGGAAGTGATTATTATTCCCATTTTATAGATGATGAAACTGAGGCACAGAGTTGTTGAGTAATGTACTCAGAATTGAATTTATCTAGTAAGTGGCAGTGCTAGGATTCTAAACCAGACAGCTGGCTCCAGATTCCCTGCTCTTAACCATTTCAGTAGAATAGCTTCTCTTTATCCAGATCCTATATCTATTGTACTTAAGTTGAAGGACATACAGAGTCAAATGTGTTTATGGATGTAAGTGCTTTGCAGACTGTTCTACTCAAATGTAAAGTGTTATTATAATTAAGACTTTGGCATATTTAGTCATTTTCACTGACACATCACTCAGTGTGTTGATGTACATTGTAAATCTCTGCTCTGAAGTAATGTACCCTGGATCTTTTAACATGGTGAATAAATAATATGACTAAATTCACTTTGTTCCATCACAAAACTTGTCTCCTCCAAAAGGATTTAGAAGAGTTATTCTGTCAAAAATGTCATTTCATTGTGGAGTTTTCATTTGAGAAAACTGTTTATGAATTGATGCAGCTCTTTAGTTCCTATGGTGGCTTTGAATAGTAATCAACTGTTCAGATTGCACATATATGTTAGATTTTCAGATAACAAGATTAAATCTAAGACTCCAGGTTCTTTCAGTAAAGGATATACCTTAAAAAAACAAACAAACAAACAAACAAAAAACAACCAACATTTTAAAGGAGTAACATAGTATTTATGCTTGGTAGATAAATGGTTTGCCTTGAGATACAAGGAAGAAAGTGTTCTTTTTCTAAAAAGCCACTGTGTGAATTTTTCTGCTTTAAAATTTTTATAATTAAGCTCAGTCTTCTTTTTGCCCCCCCCACCCCTTACCATGTGTTTTTCTTTATCACAAAAAAGGTGTAAACAGACGACATCACCTATTAATAGTTAAGTTCTGAGGTTCCTTCTCTGTGGAAATAAATAGCATAGATCTAAATAAGGCTGTTTTATGCTTATTTTAAGAAGCCAAGCACATATTAGAAAAACCAAACCTAGCAGGATGTGGGATTGCCTCCAGAAGCAGGAGTAGCATCCTTACTCACGTTAGTTCCCTGAAAAAGACAGAGAAAACATATTTAACAAAACGAATGCTACTAATCAAAATGATAAGCCTAATA